GCAAAGCAGCACTCTCCCAGCCCAAGTAGAAGGCCAAGGGCGGTGACCAGGCAGTGCTGGGTGGAGGGGGCTCAGGCCTCTGATTCCTGTCATTCCTAAGGTCCCATAAAAAGAGGCATACTCATTCTTCCTTCTCCATGAAACCAGAGCCCTCATCGTTCCTGCAGTTGCACCACAACCCCCTAAAAGCACCAAGGGAGCTTTTGGTTACTTCTGCCCCAGGTAGCCCACAGTCTCCTGGAAGTGGAAACAATCAACGTGTAGCTGGTTAGCTTGAGCCGGGCACTCGAAGGAGTGAGGAAGTCTCACAGTGGGAAGGGCTGAGCTGTAGAGCTGATGGCCACTAGCTTTACTGGGTGGCACTGTGGGTGAAAGTGAGGCCCTTCTAAAACAGGAGATGGCCATGCCAACAAGTAGCCGAGGCCAAGGAAAAAGAAATGGGGAAGGTGCAAACAGAGAGACAGAGGGGGATGTTGGGAGAGGAGATGCAGTTCTCTCTTCTTCTGGGAGAATTTCAGGATGACTAGAAGCACTGTGAGAAAGGACCCTTGGGATGGGGGAGCTCCCTCACAGAAGGGAAATTGTGGTTAGAGGTGAAGGCATTATTTCAGCAGCTGAGTTATTATCCCTCTCCTGTTTCCGAATAAGCCCAGCCTGAGCCCTCACATTGCTTAGCAAAGAACCCAGCACCTGAGAGGTAGGTTTTGTCTGGTTCACTGTGTGAGAGACTGGTCTGTAAGAGACGATGGTGGGACCATCCTGGTGTTTCTGGGCCATCTTCCTGGCAGTGGTGTACATGTCACATGGCCTGATGAGTTCTTTCCAACATGATGCCCATGTCCGTCCCTGGAGAATCTCATTTAATTGGTCTACAGTAGGTCCCCTGCTCTCCATGTGGTCTCATAGACCATGGCTGAGAGTCCCTGGCTTGCAGATGACCTGGAGTCTGAGAAGCAGTATCTCAGGCTGGATCCCACCACGGACAGCCACACTAAGAGTCTGTGCCTTGTTTTCCCATCTATGAAACTGACCCGCCACCTACAAACCATCTAATGCTTTGCTTGTGAGAAGTACAGCCCCTAGACCAGCCCTGGCAGTATTCAGGGCAGTTTGGTATGGACACAGAAGCTCAGGCTCCATCCCATGCTTACTGCATTAGAGACCTATGTGGTCCATATACACATTCAAGCTTGAGAATAACATCTAATGAAGACTATGGGCTTGGTGCATAACAGATGTCTGCTGAATCAATAGAATCTTCACTACTAAGAAAGGGGCCATATCTACAGCAAAAAAAATAGAGCCAGTCCAGATGTAAAAATTGAAGACTATTTTTGAGCTGTAAGATTGGTAATGGGTCCACTGACCTCAAGGACTCATGAAGACACTGACTTCAGGTTCCTTGACATGGTGATGGAGCACCTACTTGAGTAGAATCAAAGAGCCTGTGACCCCTTTTTCACACCCCATTTTCCACTCCATGGGGGCTGCAACCCAACTTGGCAGAAGCCCTTGGAACTTGCTCCAGAAGGACTACTACTACATTGAAGGTTGTCTACTCTCCCTGCTATGTTGCCAGGGTGGCAAGAGCCGCCAGCTAGGGAGGGCCATATCAAGAGACAGCTGTTGGGAGGGGCGCTCCCAAGCCCTTCACACCTGGCCTCTTTGGAGACTGTGTCACCAAGCTGGACCTCAGAGCCTGTGTTGAAGTGGCAACCACACCCTATATCAGGAGGGCTGTCTCAGAGGCTGCCAAACTGAATATGGGGTTGGCTGAGGAGCCAGAGTCAAGTGGGACTGAGTGGAGAGAGCGCAGGAACTTCAGTGACAAAGAAGGGAGGGAAGGGCCCAAGACACACTTCCTTTGAGATGCAAAGAGGGAACATGGGAGGAACTTCCAGTCTACTGTTTCTGTCTTTTTTTTTTTAAATTGTATTTATTATTTTTATTTTATGTGTATACGTATATTGCCTCCATGTAAGTAAGCGCACCCATGTTGTGCAATTCCCATGGAGGTCAGAAGAGGCTGTCGGATCCCCTGGGACTGGAGTTACGTACGGACAGTTGTTAGTTGCTATGTGGGTGCTGGGATTCGAACCTGGGTCTTCTGCAAGAACAACCAGTGTTCTTAACCGTTGAGCCACCTCTCCAGCCCCTATTGCTTCTCTTTTAAGACCTCTTGGGTTGGGTGGCAAGTGGCTATGAATTATGCTCCTTGGAATGCCTCACTCTCACTGCCACCTCCTAGGTTGCAGCAGGGAGCAACAGGGCCTCAGGAGGCAAAGGCAGATGAGCAGTCTTCCTCTGAGCCACATAATCAGGGATCTGCAGGTGCTCAGGCTATTTCACCCACCATAATCAAGGCCTTCCTCACAGCCCAAAAAGTTTGGGCAGTCACTGGAGTCCCGAGTGTCTAGACCAAGCCTGTGGTTCCATTCTTTTGGAGCTCCCTCCTTGGCTCACAAGAAGCTGGGCTGTGGGTGGTGTCATGGGGGGAGGTTAGGGGGAGAGAGCACCCTTCTGAGCTTATAATGTCAATCACGTCTGCCTCCTGGGGCTCTGTTCTTATCTGGGAGAAGAGAAAGGGTAGTTTCTAGTGCCTTCCCCTTGCAATACCCACTCCTCCATGACCATGACCTGTCAGCACAAGCAGACAGCAAGACACAGAGATACACACAGTAGAGGCCAGTCAGAGCCTGGGGGAGACAGGCAATAACAGCGTGCATTCATTTGTTACTGTGGTCACTGCAGGCAATTCCCAGCTTTCCTGTATACCTCTGCAGTACTGCTAATCAGTTGATAGAACTGGGACACAGGTTGTTGTTGGGACAGAGAAGGGTGGGGGGTGTAGGAATACAGAGTGTGTGTGTGTGTGTGTGTGTGTGTGTGTGTGTGTGTGTGTGTGTGTGTGTGTGTGTGTTTGTGTGTAGGGGTCTCAGGAGGCTTCCTAGGGAGTGGTACCTGAGTGCAAGTGGCAAAGGGCTGGGGCATCAGGGGTGGGAGGGAATTGAATTCTAATTGGAAACTCTAGACACCAAGGGGGATATGTCTAGCAGGGTGCAGCCAGAGGGTGGTAGTAGAGAGCAGAAGCAGGATGTGGGAGTGCCTCTGGATAAGTTGGCATCAGCAAGCAGGCCTCTGGGGCCAGCCACAAAGCCCATATCACTCATACCAGGCATATCATTGAGCCACAATGTGGGGGAAGGCAGTTTGCAAGGACAAGGGGACCCAGGAAAGGCAGACACTCAACATGGGTCACTTGTTCCCTTCCCAAGGCCCTGAGTCATCTCTAGCAGTACTTTCCCAGGGAGACCTGCAGAGGCCAGGCCCTGATTATTGATGCCTAGACCAGGTTTATCTTCTGCTTTGCCAGCTTTTAGTTCAGTGCTTGCCTACCCCAGTGCCTGTCCAGCTGTGCCCCAGCATAATCATTTCATAAGGGCTTATTAGCTCAGGCACGTAGACAATTTAACTGACTTAAATTGCTCTTGCTACTGGGACTGGAAGAAATGGCCACCCTCTCTGGGTGTGTTCCTATCTGCCAATGGGCTATGCAGATTACTTGAAGCTGGCAGCCATGGTCTAGAACTCTTGCTCCATTCTGGTCCTTCTCTGAAAAAAAAAAAAATCCTCAAGCCAAGTCTGAGGCCAGTCCTGCCCCTGACTCCCAGTGCCTGGTGGTGCAAGGCAGACAAGCTTCTCCTGCCTGTTTGTCACCCTCTCGACTCTCCCAGAACATTCCGGCCTGCGAGGAACATGCCGATGTGCAAATCCCTCAGGTAATGCGGGAATTCATCACCAGGGGAGCATGGGTGATCCAGGAATGGCAACTGATCAGAGTCTAGAGCTGGAGAGAAGCTCGAGGCTGGCCAGGGAGGCTCAGGTTGCCGAGTGGGAGACACACACAGAAGAGGACAGGCAGGCATGGGGCCCAGCACACCACAGGCAGGTGGACCTGCACTGACCTCCTTCTGGCTTTTAGGGACAACACTGCAAACCATGAACCAGGTGGCCATGTGCCCTGTGTATGCCTGTGGTCCAGGTGTAATTATGAAGGGAGGTCCTTTCTCAGAAACGGTGCTGCTTTTATGATCTGGTATATAGTCACCTTAGTTACCTAGTTACTGCAGGTGGTCTCTTTAGCTGTCACCCTACTTTCCCCGCTTTCAAGTGACTGCTTTACCAGGTAAGCTGGGCAACACAATTTATATCCTAACTAGTCTCTATAGTTCAAGATAATAGGATAGATGGCTTTCCTATTCCAGACTCTCCAAAGATGGCCCCTGCAGTATCATCCCTCACTGCCACTTTTCCCTGGTGCCACTAGTTCTGGGCTTACCAGGTCATATATTGTCACACATAACAAATGGGCAAGGTGCTTATGTGATGGGTCTGGTCTGAGTGCACATGCCCATACCCATCATACATTCTCCTGTAAGACCATGGTTGGATACTGGTCTCTTAGATACATCAATGAGCAGGATTGGGGATAAGTTCTCTGGAGTAAAGGGATAGCTAATGGGAAGGTACCAGGTAATAATCTAGGATGGTTATGCTTTCCTTCTACCTAATACCCAGTAGATGGTGAGGAGGAGGGAGGAGGGAGGAGGGAGGAGGAGGGAAGAGGAAGAGGAGGAGGAGGAAAAAAAGAGGTCCACAGCAAGTTCATGACTGCTCAGACGTGTAGAGGTCAAAGCACAGAGTCAACAACCAGTCCTCTTATCATGAAAATAGAAAGAGGGAAAGGCCAGTTGAACAAAAAGCACCTATAAAATTATATTGGTCCTTTGTAACCATGGAGCACTCACACAAACACACACAAATCTAGCTGCTCATCTCTCACCCCTCTACTGCCCTCTTATTTTCTATAATTAATCGGGCCAGGGAGGAGGGAACTCAGGACAAGTTTAACTGTGGTTAGAACTTGCAGCTCTCTCTCTAGTAATAACCCATGGTGGAGGGGCAGGGGTGTGGAGTGGCAGCTGTTGGTGTCCGGTTACCTGAAGCATGTTGAGGAGCAAGCTCCGGAACTTGGTCCCCTCCACCATGAAGAGTGCCATCTTGTCACAGAGCTTGGCGGCCGTGAAGGCGAAACTGCGGTCTGACACAGCCTTCTGGTAGATGGTCCGCACGATCTCCCCCAGCATCTCCTCAGAGTTGGTGGAGTTCTGGGCCTCCTCCATAAAGGAGGTGAGCTTCGTGTCCACGTCACTGCTGTTGTTCCGCATGCTGTTCAGTATCTCCATCAGCTTGTCCATCTTGTTCTGCTGGGGATTGCTTGTCTCCACTGCCACTTCATCCTGGGGGTATGGAAGATAAAGCAAGCACATCTGAGTGTAGATGAAGTCTCTGTGGGTTTGGGGTGGCCTGGAGGGGGAGGGGAGAGCTGCCCAGAAAGAAGCGGGGCAATGCTTGCCTTCACCAGAGACTTTCATGTCACAAGGCTGTTTGCTGACTGTTTTCTCAGCTGCTGCGATGCCCTGGGTTGACACTTGTGAGTTCTGGCTTCTACCCAGGATTCTTGTATACATTTTTTTTTTACAACTGTTTGCCCATCAGATGCCTTAATCTAGAAATGATTTAATAGGACTTAACAAAAATGAAGTAAGATGATAAACAGGAAATTGGGCTGAAGAGAAAATGAGGCAGGGAAGACCAGGCCAGGAAGGCAAGTAGGATCCAGAATGTCTGTGTCGGTGTTGAGTGGCCTGGGTGTGGCTGCTGTGTTGCCCTCCACACCCTCTGTTCCAAATGCCCAGGGACAGTCATGATTTTAGGTGTAGGGTTCCATGTGGACTTGGCTCTGGCTTAGTATTCCATGCAGACTGTGCTGGCTGTCCCTCACCACATGAATACTATGCCCTAAGGAATTTTTCCAGCATGTTGCTTAAATGCCTGATATATGTAAGAGGGAAATTTCAGACAAAGCCTTTACGTCCTCATGAAGGTTCCCAGTAATTGGGACAAGACCACAGAATGGGAAGGAGAAAATACCAGGCTATCTGAAACAGTATGTACCTAAACTTAATAGACTGGTAGCTAAGAACACAAGAGACTCTGCAGGGGTGTGTGATGCATGTGAGGGGCAAGGTTAGGTTATACAATGAAATGCCCTACTTGCCCTCTGTTCTTAACTTGGGAATTCTGGGTCATAGGCTCAGATGAGACTCTGTCTCCAGTAATCTGTTTGGCCATTTGCACTAGGGAGGCGGTCCCTTCCTTGAGCCCCCGTTTCCTTGGGGGTGACATGGTGACACTGGGACTGAACTATAACTTTCTTTGAGCCTTATCATGTGGCTTCAAAGTGCAAAAGTAGCTGTTCTCCAACTTAAGAGGAGACCATCAATCTCTTTAGGGAAGACTGGTCTGACTCTCCGAGCAGGGCCAACAGGACCCAGCTCATCACCCAGCAGTATCTAGCAGTTTCTTTGTGTTTCAGAGGCACAAGAAAGGTCTTGATCTTGCTGAAAATCTGGTTTGGCAGGGGACTAGATGCTCATTTGTCTGAAGTATACTCTTTTCCAGCGGATGGTCAGTAAAGTGAGGCGTGATCCCACCTAAGCTCACGCCCCTTAGGTCCCAGGGCCTTATCTGATGCAAGTCAAAATCGATGCCTGGTGCTACAGAGCCATACCTCCCCACTATGACCATCTGATCGCACTGTGCAACAGTAGCCTGCATGCCTAATTACTCATGAGGGTCTTATGTATATATTGTTTAATCTCCAGTCTCTGCAAGGTGGGCTATATCATGTCTATTTTACAGATAAGTAAACTGGGGCTCAGAGTGATTGAGTGACTTGCCCATGCTTCTCCAATCAGTCAAAAGCAGAATAAGGACTGAGCCTGGTTTGCTGGATATTAAATCCCAGGCAGCTTCCACAGTGCTGTACTGCATTGCAACAAGCTTAGGTAGAACTCTAGAGAACTGAGCAGTCTTCCTCCCGGGTTGGTTTTGGAAACTGTGTGGAAATTGCTCTGGGCTCAGCCATATATCGGTTGTCAGTGAGGAGTCTCTATGAGGTGACCATTGGGCTGTCAGGAAGGAATGAGGCTTTCCTCTTAGGCTCCAGCCCTAATCCCCACAAGGAGAGGAAGTAGGTGGGCACTCAGGATAGGGACACAGCTGTAGCATCTTAGTATCCACAGTTGTTTTGGGAAGAGGGCCTCTAGCCTTATCCTGCCTAAGGTGGCCCTTGGGCCTAGCCTCTGGGCAAAGGTCAAGGAAAGAAGGTAGCTGAGGAAGAATTGAGAAGCCCAAGACATTGTATTCTGAGGATGCGCAGAGGGAAGACCCCACTGGCTCTGCTAGCTGCATAGGGCTAGTTCTTCTGCAGGTAGCCTCACCCATGTCTCTAGTGGGCAAGAGGGTCTAGGTGGTAGTGCTTCCTAACAAGCACAGTGGACTTACTACAGCCAGCAACAAGTCTCTATTCTTTTCCTGGTGGTTTGGGGTATCTGCTGAAGCTATGGACCTGGAAGAGACCAGGATGAGGAAAGACGGGCTCTTGGGGAGTAGGTGGCAGCTCTTCCCAGAGTCACACCAATGTGGCTAGCACCCACATGCACTGAGAGGAACATCTCACATGGGTGTCTTTATTTTTCCTGGGAGGAGCAAGGCTAAGGCCAGGCTGCTCTTGCTCTGCCCACCTCACCCACACTCTCTCTCATGGTGGGGACTGAGCTTGCGTGGAACGACACTGGCAGAAGCATCTGTTCTTCCTTATTTCATAAGCTTCCAGTTTCCCTGCATGCCCTCTGCATGAACCCGCAGACAGGAAAACACTCCTTGGACCTTTTCCACACCACCAGGCACTGGCCTCTTCTGCTCTTCTACCTCAACTGGAGGCTGGTACTGAGTGTCCATCCTGGGCTTCTTGGAGGACAGAAAGTGAGAAGCTAGTCTGTGCTGGAGAGGTTCATACAGAGCTGGCTATGGGCTTGCTCTTGGTGGCCCAGTGGTACCCATCCAATGGTGGCCTATGTGGTGGGTCCACAAAGTCACAGAAGCTTGGCTTCCCTTTTACCCCAACCCATAAAGCTCCAACTTAAGCCCACCCTCCAAAGTGCCTACCTCTCGGATGTCCTCCCAGGTGCAAGAGAACAAGGAAAATTCAATTACCGGTACCTTTTCTTTCAGCCTTCGCCTCAGTCTGTCTTTGGAAGACTGGAGCAGGGTGATTTTGGGTCGCTCCCCGAGGCGCTCAGGGAGAACACTGTCTTTACGCTTTGTCTCAGCCTCTGGCCCCCCTGGTGGCTGTGGGGTTGGCCTTTCGGAAGCTGTTGGGGTCAGGATGTCAGGGCTGCGGGGAGGCTCAAGGCCACTGTGTCCAGTGTCCCCTGGGCTGTCCTCAAGTTTGGGGCTTTCGATGGTCATGGTGTCTTTGGCATTGCGGTGGCTGCCTGCTTCCCCCTTTTCGCCAGGCGGGTGTTTCATGTTGCTGTGGTGCCAACGCCGGTTCTGGCTGTAGCCGTGGTGCGTAGGCCTCCCTGAGGGGTGGGGCCCTGAGCCCCCCTGGTAGGATTTCTGGTGGTCCCTGTTGTGTTTGGCACTGCCTGGCTGATGGTCACCATGTTGCTGGGGCTTGTTCCCCCCTGGAGGTCTCTGCTGCCGCCTACAAACCAAGGTGGAAAATAAGGAAGCAGGATTACTAAGTGAGTTGGTCAGGGTTCCTTACCCAAATGCTGGAGCAGGAGGTCACTGCCTGACCCATTAGTCACTCACTCAATGCAGAATCTCCCATGTACCATCAGAAAGGACAGAAATCACACCTTCAGTTAAAAAAAAAAACCCAGCATTTTATTCACTTATGCATAAATATACACAATGTGGAGCAAAATCTGAAAGGCCAACAGAAGACACAGTGAAACCCCCACCCCCCTCTGCCCAGCTGTCCTCTGGAAGCAGAATTACCTGATAACATTCATTTATTGAACCCCTAACTCTGTTTTTCAGAATATGACTATCTGGTTTTTAAAGATATGAGCAAGTGAAGGTAAGGCCATCAGGGTAGGTCCTGAGATGATTTGAGTCATTAAAATGAGAAGGTATTTGAACACACACACACACACACACACACACACACACATATCAGGCACAGGCAGAGACATCAGTGGCCATCTGCAAATCAAGAGGAAAGGCCTTGAGAGAATGCAACTGTGCTAACACTTTGATATTGGATTTCTAGCTTTCAGAACGGTGAGAAAAGGGTCTGTGATACTTAACATGCGGCATTAGGCAGAGAGGGGCTCCCTAATTAAATGACAGCACTTTGAAAGCATAGAACAGCCAACGGAGTAGCTGAGCTTCATGCCAGGGGACAAAGTGCAAAGGTTTTGATATGTGGATGGAAGGCAGGTGAAAGGGTAGAGGGGAGTCTTTCTAATCTCCAGGCCTGTCCTGCCACTCACAACACTGTGTCCAGTCTCTATGTCACTAAGAGAGTACAGAAACTGGCAGAAAGACATTGCTTCAAGAATGAATCTACACCTTCCCTGTGATCTATCTCAGGCCCCGAAGACCTTAATGGCAATTGCATTTTATATCAAACCATATGTATTTACTTTCAAGCAACTGTTTATCACTTGCATGAACTCAGTTTCAATGTCCACTTGATAACTTCTTTCTCATTAAAGTTAAAGAGACCAGGTATGCTGGCACATGCTTGTAAGCCCAGTACTTTGGAGGCCAAGGCAGAAGGACTGCCACAAGTTCAAGGCCAATCTGGGCTACACAGTGAGTTTCAGGTCATCCTGATAATACAGAGTGAGACTTTTTTCAAAAACAAGGATATAAAGTATGCATGCATGAAATTCTCAAAGAGTAAATAAATATATATTTTTTAAAAAGCCAATCGGGCTGGAGAGATGGCTCAGAGGTTAAGAACACTGAATGTTCTTGCAGAAGACCTGGGTTCGAATCCCAGTACCCACATGGCAGCTAACAGCTGTTTGTAACTCCAGTTCTAGGGGATCCGACACCCTCTTCTGACCTCTATGGGCACGGCACTGCACAACACGGGTGCACTTGCATACATGCAGGCGATTTGTACATACACATAAAATAAAAATAATAAATAAAATAAAATAAAAAAGCCAAACAAGGGCCCACAAGATACTCAGTAGGTAAAAGCATTTGCCTTGCAAGTCTAACAGCCTGGGTTTGATCCCTGGAATCCATGGTGTACGGAAAGAACTGACTCCTAAAAGTTGTCCTCTGACCTTCACATATGCACTGTGGCATGCATGTACCTGCACTTAAACACCTACCATCCACAGGCACACATACAATAATAATAAATTTTAAAGTGTAAATTTTAAAAGGCCAAACAAGAAAAAAAGGAGGGTTAGGGAAATAGCTCAGTGGTAGAGTGTTCCTCTAGCATGTGCAAGGCCCCAGGTTCAATCCCCAGGACTAGGGAAAAAAGTTAATGAAAAAAGTAATTTTTCACTGGAAAGTTTTCTAACTAGTGACCTAGTGACAAAGTTTCAAGGGGAGTTAGAATGTGTGAAAGACAGAGGCACAGTTATTTTTTTGTTTACACACAAACAATAACTTACAACACATATATTATGATGAAATCGGTGTAAACCGTCTGGAGAGAAACTGGAAAAACTGTTTCAAAAGCCTCTAAAAAATGCAACCATTGGTTATTGCAGACTCTGGCAGTATATCCAAAGAAGAATGATATTTAGCCACAATGATATTTGTGGAACAATCAAAGATAAGCAAAAAGTTCAATCTTGTTGATCGAATTATGGTATCATCTAAGGCTAAATATTTATATGCCCAGAAAAATCTGGAAGAATATACACTAAAATGTTAATACTAACTATCTCTAGGAGATAAGATATGGAATTTTCTTTTACTTTCTATTTAAATGAACTTTATTTTAAAATTTATTTACTTATTTTTATGTGTGTTTTGCCTGTTGTATGTAAGTATATACCTATATGTGCAGTGCCTGCAGAGGTGAGAAGAGGGTGTCAGATCTCCTGGAACTGGAATTACAGATGGTTGTTAGCCACCATGTGGGTGCTGGGGACTGAACTCCTACTCTGTAAAAGAAGCCCGTGCTCTTAACTGCTGAGCTATCTCTTCAGATCCTTATCTCTCTCTCTCTCTCTCTTTCTCTCTCTCTCTCTCTCTCTCTCTCTCCCCCCTCTCTCTCTCCCCCTCTCTTTGTGAGGACATACATTTTGTTTCTTGTCTCGGGTCTCATTATACAGGCCAGATTGACCTTGAATTTTTCAATCTTTCTGCTTCATCCTCCCTGAGTGTTGGGGATACAGGCATGTATCGTCATGTTTGGCTGTTTGTATCTACTAATAATTGTTCATTTACATTCCATTTGCGAGCTTTCTGGTTTCTGGATTGACAAGAAGTGTTTGACTGTGGCCTTGACATTGGGCACTATGCTGAGATTCTGAACTTCTATGCTGCTATGACAAAATACTTGACAGAACAGTAGAAGGTTTATTTTGGCTCACAGTTCAGAGGGTTTAGTTCCTGTTCCTTTGATTCCAGTTCTTAGGCAGGGCATCAAGGTGGTTAGGAGTGTGTGAAGGAGCAAAGCTGCTCACATCAGGGTAGATCAGGAAGCAGAAAGAGAGAGCCAGAAAGTGGCTACGGATAATATATCTCTAAGATCTGTCCCCAGTGACTGACTTCTGCCAACTAAGCTCCACCTCTCAAAGTTTCCAGAATCTTCACAAATAGATCCACTAGATAGGAACCAAGCCTTCAATATACAAACTTGTAGGGGACAGTTAATATTCCAACCATAACAGAGAGGTGCTCATTACCTCCAAAAGGATAAAAAGTTAAAAGATAAAAAGCTGTATGAAGTCAGAAAAAAGTTCAAGGAACCCAGCACAGTGGCCTATGTCACACCCCCAGGTTCCTGGCCTCTCTGCTGCCTTCTTCTCATCTTTCGACTCTTATATTTGGGGCTGGAGAGATGGCTTAGTGGTTAAGAGCACTGATTACTCTAGCAGAGGACCCAGATTTGAATCACAGCACTGTCATGACAGCTATCAACTATCTGAAACTCCAGTTCCAGGGGGTCTAATGCTTTCTTCAGACCTCCTCGGGCGCTGCATGACACAGATGTACATATGCACATACAGGCAATAGACTCATATACATACAAATATTTAAAAAATCTTATATCCATATTGGTATATAATGCTCATGTTTTCATTTGTCTGCACTTATTCTTGAGTCATAAAAATTTGTGTAAGTCCAGCCCAGTGTCCAGGTGGGCTTTGGCCCTCAGAAGGCCTGGTCTGTGGTGGTTTTTGCCTTTGTTATCTGATTCCATCTCTTGGGGTTTGGAAGGACATTCCTGGCAAGGACATGCTGCCTAGCACTTTCTACCCAGAAACACCCACACACACCCCGACATGCCTAAATATTCAGTTTCCCTACCCAGGGTAAACCAGGAATGTTGGTGCCATGGGTAAGGGACTGATAGGCAACTGGGCCCCAATGGCCTACTGAGAGCACGGAGTCAAAATGGCTTTTCTCAGTTATTCTATCACCTATTGGCCTCCTGATGGACCCAGGCTACACTCAGATACAAGTCAACTCAGAAGGCTACAGTCCTGTGCTGGGAAGTACAAAGCAACTCATCAACGGGAGCAGAAGAAAAGACAGGGGGGCTAGGTGGCAGCTCAGTGCAGAGCTCTTGTCAAACATGTGCAAGGCCCTGGTTCCTCCAAAGTACAGAAAGGAAAATGACGACAAACCTAAAGCCCCAGACAGCTCCCCAGGCTGCACGTCTCTGATGCTTTGATTTTTTTTTTCCCCTTCCTTTACTTTTTCAATTACTTTCAATCTACTGGCCCTATCTCTTGCCACTTTCTTTATTCTTTGAATGTGCGTTATTTATTTATTTATTTATTCAATTTTTTATTTATTTATTTATTTATTTGTAGGATTTATACATGACAGTCATCCAAGATCAGGTATTGTGAAGATTATGTCATAGATGGCTTATAATACCTCTGCCAAGAATAGTGCTACAGAGGGGCTGGAGAGATGGCTCAGGGGATACATCTCACTGGCCCTGTTTTTAAATCTGCATTTATTTATTTATTTATTTATTTAATTTATTTATTTATTATAGCCCAAAAGGGAACTTTGGAAATTCCCTGGCAGATAATGCTTGATTTTTACAACTCCTGTCATCCTTATTTAGAATTTTTGTGGTGACTGTAGCCATGGTCTAAGAAATGTCTCTGAAGGACAATCCCTTCCTAGCATGTGTCTTAAAATTGCCCTATTTCACACTTGCCATTCCCAGGATTCCCCTCTCGGCCCAGCAGCTACCCCTTCAAGGGGGAAAAAATAAAAAGGAAACCACTTTTGTTCAATGGAAGGAGGAGGTCGTTTCTATATAGTTGGCCATCAGGGGCTCTAGAAAGAAATCAGCGAGGTCTTACAGAGTTTTTGCTGCTCATCCCTGGAGATCTGCGGTGACCTGAGATGATACATCTCACTTGGAGTCAGCAGCCTCAATGGAAAATTATCGGCCACGAGTGTGCCAGGCTGTAGTAGATGGCCCTAGGCTCATACTTACTGGGGCAGTGATACCTTGATGTGTGAGGAAGG